ACAAAAGATAAGGGCGGGCTAACAGATAAAAAACAAAAATGAAAGATCAAAATAAAATGAAAAGTAGCAGACACTTTTGCAAATGCAAATCAATCAGACAGAACAGATAATCAGCTTGCAATTTAAAAAATTGACGCGGAGAATTCGATAAAAATTGCATAAAATTTGCAAATTGCATTTTCAGCAATAAATAGCGCAAGAGGCAGCTGGTTTGCAAAAAATTATCTAAATTCGATGCTCGCTAAGCCTTTGATAGATTTCAATTTTGTTATTTGTTTTTGTTTAGGTTTGCATTTCCAAAAATTTAATCCATTTCCATTTCATTTGGCCGCATCAATCACCTGCATTTGGTTATACTACATAGTTAACATTTCTGTCCATTTATATGCCGTGCGGGCGCAGCAATTACCATTTCCTAACAATTTGCTGCTATTTAATCCCGATGGCAATAAATGATTGCTAGCAGCTGCAGTCGGCCGCTTTGGTGTAGTGGTAAGCAGTGCGCGCTTCCACTCCGCAGCACCAGGGTTCAAACCCTAGTCAAAGCAACATCGAAAAAAATATAGAAAACGGTTTTTTCTTAACAGCGGTCGTCCCTCGGCAAGCAATGGCAAACCTCCGAGTGTGTATATCTGCCATGAAAAACAGCTTCTCATAAAAATACAAACGCCGTTCGGAGTCAACGTAAAACTGTAGGTCCCTCCGCTTTGTGTGACAACATCAGGGCGCACGCCACAAATCGGAGGAGAAGCTCGGCCAAACACTAACATAAATATGTGTAAGCGCCAATCTATTATTATTATTAGCAGCTGCAGTCGGTGCAACAGAGAAATTAATTTGTAGCAGTCAAACATACTGCATATATTAGAGGTAATGGGTGCAACGTAAAACCTGCACTCATAAAAGGGAAAACTTTGATTTTATTTGAAAATAGCACTGGGTATAAATTTTACTTTAGCAGACTATTTTCGAAATTTGTTTTTATTTATTTATTTTGTTTGTAAAAGAGAGATTCGTGCATTTTTGGTAAGCCGCTGTAAATAAATGGTGAAAACATCTACTATGTAAATGGGAGGTGGAAGAAAATTCAAGCTTAAAGAAATTTGTTTGTACAGATTTTCAGGAATAAAATTATTATTTTTTAATATTTTACTGCAAATTTTTATGCAGACCCAATTGCAGGAAATTTGTTTTGAATTTAGTTGGAATACGATGGGAAGGGAATATGAATATGAATATGAATATGAATTCGAATATGAGTATGAATACGAATATGAGTATGAGTATGAATACGAATATGAATATGGGTATGACTATAAATATAAATAGAAATATGAATTTAAATATTAATATTAATACTAATATTAATAAAAATAAAAATATGAATATGAATATGATTATGAATATGAATATGATTATGGATAAGAATATGAATACGAATATACATATGAATATGAATATGAATATGAGTATGAATATGAATACGAATACGAATATGAATATGAATATCAATGTATCAAGGTAAATGTGAATATGAATATAAATATAAATAGAAATATGAATATAATTATAAATATTAATATTAATTCAAATAAAAATATGAATATGAATATGAATATGATTATGAGTATGAATATGAATACGAATTCGAATATGAATATCAATATCAATTTATTAAGGTAAATATGAATGTGAATATAAATAGAAATATGAATATAATTATAAATATTAATATTAATACAAATAAAAATATGAATATGAATATGAATATGAATACGAATATGAGAATGAATATGAAAGCGAAATCGGGTAAGAATACTAGTAGGCACATATATGAATACGATTGAGAACCGATTATTAAGCGATTACGAATAAAATTTATTCCCAAGTTATAAAATTCAATTTAAGTGCCTCACCAAACAAATTGTGGTTTTTAAAGGGAATTATAAAATATATGAACTTATTATAACCTAAGACTCCTGCAAAAATATTTCAGAAAAATATTTAGATTTATGTGAGCTGGCCCGAGTTTTAAATACCTCCAAAATATTTTTTCTTATTACTAAAATTATTTAGTTACTAGCAGACCCGGCGAACTTCGTCCCGCCCAAAATTTTTATATATTTTATTGAAACTTTTTGGTCCAACATTTTCACTAACAATTCACGTTTATGATTTCCATTGGCACATTCGTCTGCTAAGATTATGGTTTGGTGGTCATTTTCCGCTTTAAGTAACCTAAGGAAAGTGTTATATCCGTGAAGAAGTTCTTGAAATTCTCCAGTTGTGCGGCATTTCATAGCACGGTTATTCGTAAAGCGAAATAAATTTTTTCCTCTTCGTTAAAATTCGTACAACCATTTAGGAGGATTTCACTCACAAACACACCTACAGAAGAATTAAAAAATACATTCGAAGATAGCTAAAGGTCGGTACGTTTGCAGGCCTCACACCCCTTTTTCAAATAGCCAAATTGTCTCCATGAGTATGGGCTTGATTTCAACTACATACATATCTCCATACGAAGTTCCAGTACTGTGCCATGAATACTTTCAGAGATATGCAGTATAAAAATTCGATTTATATGGAAGGTGCCACGCCCCCCTTTCCAACAGCTGCCCTCTTTCTTCATGAGTATGCGATTGATTTCGTATATCTCCATACCAAGTTCCAGAACTCTACCATGAACACTTCCAAAGATAGGCAGTATGAAAAATTCGGTTTGTATGGAAGATGCCACGCCCCCTTTTCCAATAGTTCCAATTTTTCCTCAAGAGTTGATTGCGTATATCTCCGTACCAAGTTCCGGAACTATACCATGAACACTTCCAGAGATATGCAATATGAAAATTTTGGTTTGTATGGAAGATGCCACGCCCCCTTTTCCAATAGTTCCAAAAGTTCTAGAACTCTACCAAAAAATTTCCAGAGATATGCGGTATGAAAAGTTCAGTTTGTATGGGAGAAGTCACACCCCTTTTTACAATAACTTAAATTTCCCTCCAAGGGTATGCGATTGATTTCGTATATCTCCATACCAAGTTCCAGAACTTTACCATGCACACTTTCAGAGATATGTAGCATGAGAAATTCGGTTTGTATGGAAAGTGCCACGCCCCCTTTACATATAGATTTTTTTTAGCCTAAAACCATCTTTGGTACACGTGCGGCAGGTGGCAGTTTAAAAAAAATCGGTTCAACCGCTCTCGAGCCTTGCGAAAACTAAAAAAACGGCTTTCAAAATATATATTAGTTGAGATATATTGTATATTATATATATATTTTGACAGTATCCGTTGTTTCTGATTGGCGCAAAAAAATCTTGCCTAGTGACGAATTCGCCCCTTGATATGGTCGTTGCTCAAAGCTATTTATATTCGAAATTGCATGAAAATTTGAAAACAGGAATCTATAAGCTTATCCAGGCAAAAAGCTACCTACGTACCGAATTTTAAGCAAATCGGACCATAAATACGATTTCTTCGAATAGATCGGTCCCTGGTGCACTTCTCGGAAAACATGGAGCATATATGCTAATATATGCTAAAAAGCTACTTACATACCAAATCTTAAGCAAATCGGACCATAATAAGATTTTATCGAATAGACATTTTTTTAGCCTGAAACATGGTGGTTACCGAAAGCTATTTATATACAAAATTTCATGAAAATCGGTCCAGCCGTTCGCGAGATTACATGTTACAAAAAAAAGGGACTTCTCTTTATATAATTAGTATAGATAAATATGTAAGTATATATTTTCCAAAAATTACCTCAGAAGAGAGAAGAGTTCAGCTTAAAAGGTTTGCATAAAATTTTTTCAATGGATTTTTGAATGTATTTTCAAACCAGTAACGCTCACGTACATCTTAATATATTTACGAACTATTATGGCCGAAGTCTTAAAATATAATAAACTTTATAATTCCGTTGGGGAAACAGTGCCAATTTTATTTTTTTATTTATTTTTTTTTATTGGTGCACCCGAATGTACACACATGCATACATGATATTTGCAAAGCATTTCAAACGCATTTTCGGCTACATTTTATTATTTATTCAATTGTACTTGTGCTGCAAATAAGTTCAATAAGCCTCAATAAATATAAATAATGCTATTTCCGCTATCTAGAGACGAAAACATAAAATATGAATGTGTGATATTTTATTGTTCTTGTTTAAATTACTTAGTTACATGAAATATATACACATGAATAGACAATTCCCAAAAAAAAAACACAAATTTCGACTATTCATGCATTTTCTTAGCCTAATAAAGCATAAACACATAACTAAAATATGCACGAACACACACACACACACACAACATAGAATACCAAAACTGCTATGCAGAGCAATAACTAAAGGATAACTCACCAGGATGATACATACTTACATATGTACACATGTATTTGACTTCAAAAAGATATGCGAAATTTTGGAAAAAAAAAATATTTTACTCAAAATTTATTGACATTCGCAGCATGCAAACAATTATTCATGTAATCATTATCACGCAGTTTCACATAAACACAAGCAAGCATTTGTAAATACATATGTAATTTAAACTATTCACACATACCCCTACTTACACCCTTACTCACATTTCTGTGCTATAAGCATTCACGTTTTTTCGCTTAGCAGCTTACTATGCTTTTCATTCACAATCATTTCGCTAAGTATTTGATGCTAACATTCATTACAATTTCATACATTTAGTATTTTTACCTATGAAAAATTATTTAAAAATTATTATTGAATTATCTACATATTTACTTTCCTGTGACACAGTTCTTCTATCTCTCACTTCGCTACTCTCTTTACTTACTTAACCCTATTACATAACAAAGCTTTTTCACTCAATGCAACAACATCCAAATAAAAAATATTCCTATTTATTGCATATCGTTTATTGATTTATTGTGATTTTGTCCAACAAATTCTTTTCTAGTTAGCACACAGTTTTTGCTAATTTCTCTTCCCTTTAACCTGTCTCGCAGGTGTTCCTGGCAAGCGTAACGAAATCTACTACAACTGCTGTCCCGAACCATATATCGACATCACATTTGCCATCATCATTCGTCGTCGTACTTTGTATTATTTTTTTAATTTGATCATACCTTGCGTGCTGATCGCATCGATGGCGTTGCTGGGTTTTACGCTGCCACCAGATTCGGGAGAAAAACTATCGTTGGGTGAGTAAAGAGATGCACAAATTTGAAATGCCAGTTATTTTAAGCTCCAAAGTTTAGATATGTAAGTATTTAAATTTAGTAAAGGATAGTGGTCAAATAGAAGGATCTTAAGCAGTGGGCTTGGGATAGAGCCTGTCCGGTAAACACTGAAGTAGGCAACGAATGAAGGAGTTTGCGCAGCCGATGGTGTCAGTCACAAATTTTCCTCAGAGTGAATAGACTCATGTGTTTAATCAGGAAGCAAGTACTGCAAAGAACTAAGCTTTTTGGACTTTCGTATAAAGGGTGTACAGGAAAAACAAAAAAAGACTTCAGACTTTAGTTGCGAGTCAGATAATATTATATGCCTCTGAGAAATCCTTACTACGAGGCCCAAACTTCGGTTCCTAAGATCGCCGTACTTAGAAATACCTAGAGTCACTTAACCTAAATGGCTTTGAGCCAAGGAACCTCGTGAAATTTCTCAAATCTACGTGGATCAAAAATTATCTATAACCAATTAGAGGTATTTTACAACAGATCGTCGTAGATCGGCGCACTTTGACGAGACGCTCCTATTCATATTAATGTTATCTAATCCAGGTGCGATTCTCAACCAGAACGAAATAAATAAGAGATAAAATTGCTACGAAGCGAGCAATCTTCTTTTAATGTTATGTATAATTTAACCCGAAGTTAGAGAAGCTGAAAAAATAAAATACGAATCGTTTGGAATCTGCGTTGCTTTGCACTTCATGGATTTTCCTCAGCATTGCAGAGCTAAATTGGAGTACATCTATTCAATAACAGCTAACAGTTTATTAAAGTAACGACGTCTAGAGATATTTATTAAATAAACCTTGTCTAGAAAAACGACTTTGAGCATTTCGTGCTTTGCCATTATTTTTTTGAGATAGTCACTTATATTGTTTGCTTGCCATTGCATTATTCTTTGTTATCGATATGCTACATGCGTATGAATTCATCGATAACGATACCAATGACTATATGAGGAAACAAATGAACTACTACTTCGGTAGTTTTCGATATATCGGGAACTTTAGTGATAAATTTCTTAAAATAATCGACAAATGTACATATTGTGTACATCGCAGTGTGCTTATATATTAATCGACCCATGTAAATGCCGATACATAAAACGTATTTTTATCGAAATATGGTTATCAATGTATTTATCGGTTTCTCGTTATTTAAAAAATTAATTAATCCATACGTGTTTAACTTTGAAATGGGTTAATTGAGCTTAATGCCTACAACATTCTGTGATTATACTACATATATATAATCGTTATAGTCGTAAATCTTTCTTATATTACCTTCTGATGTTAAAAATGTTAAATCAGACACTGTTTTGTTGGTACTACAAAAGCTGACAAAAAAATCATCCGGGTTATGTCCAGTACGTTAGATATCTTGTTGACCTATTTAGGCCGTTTTAAATATTACTCGGTTTCCGAATATATTGGAGCAAAATTTACCTCCCAAAACACTTTTCTCATACCTAATTCCAGCTAACAAGGATCAAAGTAACAAAATATTTCACTCTTTTGATTTCTTCCTTTAGATAGGAATGGCAATCGGGGTTTTCATACACAAATTTTGTCGCCAAAAAAAAACTATCATTTAAAAAATTGTTATGGTACAAGGTATGATTTAAAGCAGTACTTAAGACAACAAAATAGTGGAAATTTGAATTCAAAGTAACAGCAGTCGTAATTTGCGTTCGGGGGTTACTCACATAACACGATTGTGATATGACCATCAAAGTCAAAAGATTTCTGCAAATTTTCATGTATGGAGAAAACATGAACAAAATCAATGGATAAATAAGAAAGGAAGAATGAGTGGTCAAATGAAAATGCGCAAAGATGTTTTGTATGAAAAATGAGCAGGAAAGAAGGTTACGCATACGCCATGTACATCTGAGTATTTTCAATTGGTTCTTGAGATATACGTAATTAAGAGTGCAGCACTTCTTTAAAAGGTAAATAACAGTAAATTGCAAATATCTCGAAAACTTATCCATGGAAAAAATTAACTTGATTTTTGGAATCTTCGGGCAACTCTTCATAGGTATTGGATAGTAGCATCCGGTGAAAAAAAACATGAATTTTTTCGTTTTTAGTTCACTATTCCTCGGATTTGCTCACGTACGTTAGTTATGCATGTAACTGCTTAGGTAGACTTTCTGCAGTTGAAGACAATATAAGTTTTTCCCAGCTGCAACTTTGCAGTGTCTTCCCATACCTAAACTTATAAAATATTCGCCTTTAACTTGCCATCAAATTAAAATGGAGACATACAATTTTCTTCTTTCTTACAATTTAATAATTAATTTAAATAAATGTGTACTTTAGTTCATATAAATATTCTCATGTTACCTAGCACATAAATATTTAATTAGGAACACATTCAAAGTTATTAAGACATTTACCAGAAAAGCCTAAAGCAACGCATGACTCCAAATTATGAACGACAGGTAAAAATTTCGGTCTATTCATTGCAATAACTGTGTGATAGTGTTCGCTTACAGATTCAGTGAATATACATATTTAGTTTGTATACGTTCATATGTCCATATATACATACATATTTAAATAGCCACAAGCTACTAATACTTATGGACTTCAGTACTGGAGCACACTGTCTTTCTATCATAGCCTGCCTGCTAAAATCTTAAGTCATCTGTCTATCAATAACAGGCAAAGCATTGAAGGATTTAACTGCATTCAGCTAAAAGTTAATTGATTTTAATCTGTATAGTATTTATGCATACCAAGAAAATATCTCCCCGCTGAAGTAATTGCTAAGTATTTAAGCAAACATTTTTACAAAATTTGCTATTTTTGTTGCTCAGAATATGAAATTGAATTGAGAAATAATTTCAAATTAATTTCTTTAAATTTCTTTGTGGGAAGAAAACTAATTGTTGGAAGTTTGCGATAATAAATTAGAAATAGAAAAAATTAATAGATTGGAAAGTTTTGTTGACCTGCGGACATTTTGAAAATGCAATTTTTTTCAAGTTAAATTAATTAGATGTGGATGTGTATCTCCAACCTGTTGACATTCATACATATTTTTTCTATCTACTAGCCAGTTATACCAAAGCAATTTAAGTGAAAATTATTTTTTTGAGATAGAAGCAGTTAATGTTGCAGGTAAACCAAAAATTTGTTTGAGTACTAAAGCTGCCGCAAATCGCATATCTATTTGCTTACAGCTTCAAGTTATTCTAGCTCATAGCTTTCATAAATAGCATACCTTTAAGCGTTTAAACTTTCGGCAATGTGCTGTTGAATATTCCAAAAAATTTGCTAGAAGCTGTGCAGAATGCAAAATAATTGCTAAAATGCCAGTATGTGTATGCATACATATACATATGATTATATACTTGATAGTAGTAAATTCATGCTAATTCACATGCCATTCTATTTTAGCAATCACTTAGGCGTACATACATACACGCGTATAAGCATTTAAAATATGCATGTATTTATGTTTAAAAGTATTGCGAAATCAGCAGCTGCTACTCTTCCAGCATCGCAAGAACGTCTGCTACTCTGGTTAGTTTAGTTATTTCTTCGTCGTTTTCGAAACTTTAAAGCACAGCACTCTCTCTTGCAGCTGAAGTATATTCAGTAACGTCGCTCCTTACTTAGTAAGGTCGTTATCATCATAAACTTTGCTTCCTTCATATTATTTTATCATTTTCGTGTGAGTTACTTCATCATTACGTGAGCGCATGGAATAGGAAGAAGAATTAGCAAAAAGCTTGCCTTTCGCATTTTGCTTAAAAAAAAAAAAAACTAACATTGAATCAAATATATAGCTAAACATCTATATTTGCATACTCGTTTGTAGTATGTAAGTGAAAACTTAGGAATGTGCGAGGGCCTGGAAGGCACACACAGGCATACAAAAAATACTTGTATACATACAGGGTGCATGCGAAAATTGATGATTAGTAGAAGTATCACCAATAGTAATAGTTTAAAATATACAGTCAATCGAAATCGTCTCCCAATAGAAAGAATATATTCTACATAAATACCCTTTAATTTGGCGTGGATAGCAAATTTAGATAAGGTATCCCCCCGTGCTATCTTAATCCTTATTATTGCTGTTTTTACATCTTTTTGGTGAAGTGAAGGGACGAGAGCATTGCTCCTATACATTGGTTTCGGTGCTTCTTCGTAAAACGAGCCCGCAGATTTGGCATCCAAAATCGTTTGGAAGTGATTTCTTCGCCTTTTCTTAGTGCTCTCACTGAACGTTTTGTTTCAAGATTTGCATTCGCGTGCATGCTGACTTATTTTCTGATAGAATTTTAAATAAATATGTATATATAAATATGCCTTTATTTATTTCCTTTCTACTTTTCTTCCGGTATCACTCAGTTGTGCGTGGCATCACAACCGAATGCAGGGTGACTTTGTTCGCTGCGTATTTCTCTTTAGCATGTCCATTTAAATACGCCGTCTGTTGCAGCTTTAGGATGTCAAACTTTAATCGAACTTCTTATCGCATGGCTTTTGGGGCCGGAATGAAGCCGAAATTCTATCAATATTTTAAATCCTAATTCATGAAATAGACATATAGATGAACTATATGTACGACGTGGCGTATGAGTAACATTATTTTCTGGCCCAAATAACGGGTGATTTTTTTGAGGTTAGGATTTTCATGCATTAGTATTTGACAGATCACGTGGGATTTCAGACATGGTGTCAAAGAGAAAGATGCTCAGTATGCTTTGACATTTCATCATGAATAGACTTACTAACGAGCAACGCTTGCAAATCATTGAATTTTATTACCAAAATCAGTGTTCGGTTCGCTTTACGTCCGATTTATGGTCTACATAATCGACCAAGTGAGCAAACAATTAAT